CAACTGCTATTCAAGGTTATACCAGGGTAGCGTTAAAAAGCAGGCATGGTATACTCGTGGCTGAGCGTTTGAATTGGACTGCTATGCTAGTTAAGAAAAGTGATCGTGTGCTTTTCTTAAACTAATGGTGAAAACAGCATTTTAAAGTTGTTTTCTTCAATTACAGCATGTATAGTCGGTTAACAGTGCGTGTTGGTGTGTGTTTTGAGTTTCGAGATTTCAAACTTCAAAGGATGCCCGAGTTAGCAGTTATTTTTTTCCATCTTCTTTTTGCCCTGCATTTGTGGATGCTCTAATATGACAGATTCGAACAGACGTAACCTATAAATTTCTGTAGCTTCCGTCTCCAAGTTCACACAGTGGCCACGTCTTGACATTTTTGTCCCATGTCCTTTATCTGCAAGCTCAGAAGCCCATTCATTGCGCAAATGATCTTCACACTTATGTTTTGGCTTTTATTTATAAAATATGATTGCAGGGAATACCTCTTGAAAATAATCGTGGTTTCTGTGCTTCATTCTAAAGCCCCGGCCGTACATAATGTATAGGATTGATTGATTTGTGGGGTTTAACGTCCCAAAACCACCATATGATCATGAGAGACGCCAAAGTGGAGGGCTCCGGGAATTTTGACCACCTGGGATTCTTTAACGAGCACCCAAATCTGAGTACACGGGCCTACAACAATTCCGCCTCCATCGGAAATGCAGCCGCCACAGCCGGGATTTGATCCCGCGACCTGCGGGTCAGCAGCCGAGTATCTTAGCCACTAGACCACCGTGGCGGGGCCATAATTTATAGGAGATGTTTTATTCTTTTGGAAATCATAAAATTGAAGCCGCTTCTGACTTTTGCCGCTGTACTGTCTTAAAAACGACAGTGTGGGTTCTCTGAGCCTTAAAAAAAGTGTCGTAAAAAAGCAGAGTGTTTTACTCTGCTGATTTGGGAAAACGCCACTCAAGGTGCATTTCGAGTGAAGGTTCGAGTCGAGGAGCGTTTGTGAATACGGGGGTTAGGAAAACCACGCTACCACTATAAAGCATGTATTTTGCTGTAATGACAACTTATAAAAACTTAACTAAGAAAAGCATTCATTTATTACACAAAGACGGGCATTTCCTAACCACAATTACGAATACTCTCGTTATCAGGCGCTTTTCTCGGCCCATGCAGGTTAATAAAGTGAAGGGAGCATTCCCAAGGCCTCCCTTGGCGAAGGAAGTGTGGAGGAGCACGCTCTGCCTCGACTTTGTCAAGTCGAGGGGAGCCCTTGAGTGAAGGAGCGTTTGTGAATACGGGCCTTAGAATGAGACAAATGAACTGATTATATGGTCAAAAGAATTTTTCAAAAGTGTAAGAAGGACCAGAGATATAGTAGACACTATATTTGCCTCACACTGTCCCCCTCAACTTGCTTCATTCCAAAAGAGGGCAGCGCCGTTCGAGGTGCCCTGCCCAGTGCATTACATCACCTTGCTTATATGTTGTGTGGTTTTCTTTCTGGGTACCTGTAGCTGTGCGGTCTGGTGTGGTGTATTTACTACTTTTACTCAGCGAAACTGGATGGCACTTCAAGCGCGCACAAGTGAAGCTACTGCAAGCATTCGTTTTTGTCCCAGAAGAGAGCGCGCAACCACTCATTTGCTGTTGGCAAGCTAGCGTCTTTTTTTTTTTTCTTTGTCTACTACTAACTGCTCAAGCTGACTAAGAAGGTTTTAAAGAAAGACGTTTCATGAAAAGGTACTTCAGAATCGTATCAAGTTTTGCTTGTCTTACTAGAAAATAAGCAGTGAGGTATGACTGGGAACTGCCTGCATTTTTGTGAGCTTCTCTACAGAATGAACCCAAAGGGCAGGCTAAGAGTGTTCCTTCGCTGTTGCCATATGTTGGCAATATAGCTGGCTACATTGCAGGTTTTCTATGCCTAATTATGGAGAAGTGGATCGCCTGTGCGACATGATATAGGTGTAGCATTAACAGCATCAGCATTGCATAAATCGGCAGATACATTTGCATTTCCACCCATGCGTAGGTATCATGATGCATGTGTTCGTTGCATGTTATCCTATTTAAAAACCCAGTGGTGCTGCCCCAGTGCCAACCATAATTATTGGACTAGTGTGGCATAGGGCATTGAGTTTCCTAAAATTAACTAGAGGGGACTCTGGTGCTGTGATCGCTCAGTGACCATAGGAATGATGGGTACTACACAGATTTGCCTAGCCTTCGTGCTTGCAGGCGACGAATCGCACGTGTGGCTTCCGTTTGTTGCTGGTTTTGGTTTTCTTTCGAAGAAAAGAACAAAGTTTTGAACTTAGCAAGTCAATTTGAAATGATAAGCCTAAAAGATTAAGGTGGTAAAGTGCAACTGATAAACTATTGCTGATTGTTGTTTCATGACAAAGCAGCTTCAAGCCATGCGAACCCAAAAGGAATGTAAAGTATGAAGACGAGGCAAATCCGTGTACTACCTGGAATTCCCATGGTCGCCGAAGCGCCATGCGTTGCAGCTCCCATATACACTAGCGCCAGAGTTCCCTCTGGTGTATATTTAGAAAATTCCATGGCACAGGGTACTAGAAAGGTGGCACAGTGGGTGCGATGAAAAATAGGCCAGAGATGACGTTCTGACACAATGCAGCATGCCACACCTTGTGCACTAATATGTGCTGGCTATGGTACCATGAACAATGTAAAATGTGTATTGAAAAAGAGCTTTTTTTTTCTAAAAATAAACTGATAGGCCAAGATTGTTTTGATTAGTATAGCCAGAAAAAACAATAGTACCAGGTCTATAAACGCATGCAACAAAGGTAAGTAATGAAAATGTGTGCATAGCAAGCCAGCTCTGTAAGCTAGCTGAGTGCAAGATAGTGCTCCCAGAACAGCCCTTGTGCCTTCACAACAGCACATTGGTTTGGGTTACACAAGAACTACAAACAAAACCATACTTTTGGTAATTTTTTTTTTTTTGTTCAGTGGCCATATAACGTACTTCTATTCCATATTCCATTTTCCCTGTTACATCACGCTTGAGGCACCGCCCATGCGAGAAGCTCCTAGGTTTATGGAATTTGGCGAATGAAAAGTGCTCGTTGTCGCCTATAGTGCATAAACAAAACAAATGCGACAGTTGGCCTAGTTTACATAGACATCTAATGAAATCCCTAGTATTTTCTGGGCATTTTGAGAAGAAAAATTTAAAGACCATAGCGACTATCTGGCTGAAAGTTGCAAAGGGGCCGTATATTCAATTTATGTTTCACATGAGTGGAAAAGTCCCTAGTATTTTCTGGGTATTTTGAAGAGGAAATTTTAAGGACCTTAGCGACTTTTTGGCTGAGAGCAGTAAAGGGGTCGTATATTCTATTAATTTTATTCGCGAGCACGTAACAAAAAAAATCATCCCACGTAAATTAGAGGAAATTTTAGTTATAGGCTTCTGGTGCTGACATGAATGAATTATATTGCTGAAAGTAAATTATAACCTTTTGTGTTTTGAGACTCGAAGCCACATGTTAGTCGCTTTTGTATCCAATACAAGCCACATAATGGCTGCTGTGTGTAGAGTGAAGAAAAAAAAAAACTGATCGTCTGTGTGAGCCACGTTTTGCGTTCTGTGGCGTATAAATCTGCAAGAACAGTGTAATTGTGACTACCGGGGAGTATTTTCGTCCCTGAAAGATATGGCAAGCTGCAAAATGCAATTACAACACCATTGCTTTACTTAAGCAAAAGTGACGCCCAAACTGTTTGTCGGGCATGTCAAATGCAACCTCAACATCCCTCTGGCGCTTGTTGTAGGTCACGTCTCATAGCCAAACGTAACAGCAAAGGTCGCTGGCTCAGCCGGCACTGCCAATTTACATATTCCATTTGTGACAGATCCACTCGCTGGCTGTTCCGCAGTAGCGTGGAACCGATTCGGCTCATTTTTTCATAGTAAGCGCCTACTCCTCATTTTGACGTCAACACGATTCGGGCTTCTGAACCGTCACTTGATTGACAGGTTCAACGACCAATCAGCATTTATTTTTGCATAATGAGCGCACGCTTGCAATTTAGGTCATCACCACAATGTAGGCTTCCCACTCGTAACTTGACTGACAGGTTGAACGACCAATCGTAGTGTGCCCTTGGGGGCCAAAAAAGAAATAAGGAACATGGAATAGCAGTTTGTTATACGGCCACATGAGCTACCCAGTGCACAATTGCAGCTGCCACCAAGATCAGCAGCACTAGTGTTTTAAAAAGTCTGACGCCAAATCATACGCAGACTAAAGTTATGTAGGAAGAGAAAAGAACTTGCCGATGAAGTGAGAAAAGAGCTTGTCGATGAAGTGAGACAAACTGATTTAGGTGTCTTTATCTGTAGCAAATTTTTGTGCATGGCACATGATATATAGCACAGGAAAACTCGAAGTGTGCAAATGGAGCAGGGCCTTCACCTTTGAATAAATAAATAAATAATAAATAACTAAAATCATTCAACAAAATCAATCAATTAAAATGGGGCAATCACTTTGCAACTATTTAAAAGAGCCTAATCCAAATTTTTACGACTGAATTCTAGCGATAGTGGACTATGTACAGTTTAATTGCAAAATGTGTGACGTATATTGATACCATGAGTTCAACAATCAAAAAATCATGGGACTAAACTCGACCAAACTAACAATAGCAAACAACTACGTTTTACTCAGTTAAGCTTAAAAGAAGCTTTGCTCTTATAAAAGAGCCACATTTGTACAACTGGTTCTCAATTAAAATATATGAAACTAAGAGCCCATTTGCAACAACCAAGTAAAACAAGTGTGATGACTCGTGTGTCTACGTGTGTGGATAGCGAGTAAATTTTAGTCCTCCTTTCTGCATTTGCCTTGGTATGAGAATAACACACTGAAATGCATAACTTGGCCGGTATGCAGGGCCCTATTAAAAAACTCATGAAAATGGCATTTCACATGCAATACATCAGTGAATAGAACAATTGGTCTTACCATCCTGAAGCTCTCCTTTAGCAGCAAACTTCTTGAGTGCCTCATACTCCCTTTTGCTTTGCTCCTGCTCAGTCAGCAGATGCCGAATAGCTCGACTTCTGCCAGTAGAAGGTGAAACTTGAGGCGCTTCAACAGCCTTCACTGGTGACTGTGATGCAGGCCTGCCGACACGATGCCCTAAGGATGCGTCCTCCTTGACGTCGCAGTCCTGCTGCCTTGATGGCGCATCTGGTACTGCCCTGGAATGTTGAGGACGCTTGCCCCGACCCCGGTGGGTCATTCCAGAACCTTTCACTGTATTGTCCCATTTCTCCTGTTGAGAACTGTTGCTTCCTGTCAAGTCTGAGCCTTTGAACCCTGCAGGCCTGGCTGACGGCTTTACTTCTGCGCTGTTCTGTTGCAGTGTGGCGGTATTTTCAGAAGGCTTCGAGTGAAGGTCGGGGAAGTCCTCATTGTGGAATTGGGGGTTTTCAACCAGGCTTCCACCTCTGGTTCTGCGACCACCACGTGCTCCTCCACCGCGTCCTGACCCTGACCGGGGTGTGTAAGCTTCTTCATCTTCCCAGCTGCGCTCGTATTTGTTAGGGCCACGGCCATAGCGCCTCCGTCTCCGAGCTCTAGGAGGCATCAGTTCTGAACGAATATCGTAGCCATATATACTCACAAGCTCCTCACTTGATTTAGGACCCTGCTCCTCCTCACGATACATGTCATGGTTCCAAACACCTTCATCATGCCAGAGCTTCTTTGGTCGGCGAGAGCCCCTGCCAAAGAAAAGGAATACAACTTACAAGATATGCAGGGTGGAAGCGGGCTTCAGGCTTTTTGGAGCAGCTATGGGAGCAGCAATAATGCAGTTTTGGAGCAGCTTTTGAGCAATAAAGGAGTTTCTGAGTAGCTTTGGAGCATCAAAAGGTGCGTTCTGGAGCATCGAAGTTTAGTTGGGGAGAAGATTTTTCGACCCACACATCACTCTTAATTAGAAATTTTGCTTTCTGGCAAACACGAAAAAATTTCATTGGTTTTTACTAAGCATGCAATGCTTATCAAGAGACCAGGCTTACTCGAAATTCATATATATTAAACATTACAAAATCAAAAGTGAAACCGTTCTACGTTAGTGCGCCCTAAACGGGAAGAGATTGTGTAGTAACTGCATTTCTCCTTGGAGCGGACGTACTTATTTTCTCATACACCAGCGTATTGTAGTTGTTAGCGTCGAGATGTTGGATCCAAAAGAATTGGCTGTCAGCCTTTGCATTGTCACACGGTCGTGATGTCGATGAAGGAAGCAGCCGTTGTCTTCATGAACAAACTTTTTATTTGGGCTAACCTGTGCCCGGAAAACGAAACGCAACTCTAAAAGAAATACACGCTGCAGACTGATAGCAGTGAACATAGAGTGTCAGTCATTAATAATCTGCCACGCAGCAAAGTGCGCCAGCATTTATAGATATGCCATCGAAGATTCCAGCGTTATCTCTAGAGGCAGCTCCAGAAAAAACTGATGTACGCATTGTGCGCGTAATCCCATGGGAAGACTCTAAGGTTATCTAGATGGCCCCCAGTCATTTGGGTGCAGTTTGCTCAAGGCATCGTAACACGCATAATGGTGCAGTAACAAGAATAGAAAGGAGCTCATGTGGCATCACCACAACAACATTACAAATTCGCCTGTGGCACCTTTTTTTTTTTTTTTTTTCAGTTTATATAGCAAAAAACTCGTCGCACCGTTGCCCAGCAACTGCCGAGGACAGCACGCGCTAGACAGTTGTTCGGCAGTGCTGCGGTGAGTCTTTTGCAACACCACTGCCGCCTTTAAAGTTAGCCTGACAGCTTCGCTGTTAAAACATAAGCAGAGTCGCATAAAGAGGTATGCACACAAGTGCCATTTTAACAAGAACCATGCATTGTGTTTACGTGGCGCAAGATTCATGCTGATCCGAAATGCAAAATTTGATATGGATGCGGTTGCTTTCTTTGTGTAGCCCACATGTGTTTCTCGGTCAATGAGAAAACTCTCAACTAAATTTGGCATTGCACGTGCAAATTGCGATTTAGGCACGGCCTGTCGCAGTAGGTCAGATGGGAGAATCATGGCGCAATCGGCGTATCACTTCCACTCTTGGATATAGCATCATTCATATGGCTATAGCACACCATGACAAGGACGCAAGAGAGAGACACACACACAGCACTAACTTGCAACTATTGTTTTATTTGCCATCACACATGCTATTTCTACATTAACAGTAAATCCATAAAACATTTTGTTCAAATATCATGTGCAATCGCAAATAAAACATTAGTTGTAAATATCATGTGCAATCGCAAATAAAACATTAGTTGCAAGTTGGCGTTGAGTGTGTGTGTCTCGATTTTGTGTCCTTGTTGTGGTGCTTTATAGCCATATGAATGATGAACCCCAACCCTAGCCCAGCAATGTGCGTTAGCAAAGATATGGCAGCAATTCCACCTGCAACTGATTACACAGAGAAAGCTTTTAAGGCCTTGCAGGAAAGCAATGAAAGGATCATGCAAAAAATAACCCGTCAAACATGTGGCACTCACTTGTCATCGTCATTTTTTTCTTCTGGTACCTCAGATGAATCTTCATCTCCTACCATACGGTCATCATGCTGGTAAAATGCACCTTTCTTGGGGATGTACTGAGGGTTGCGCTTGTCTTCATCAAAGTCCAAAACTTTATCTTGGAGATCAGAGGGATCAACACTCTCCTGAAAGAAACACCAGGTCCATCAGAGTTTTCAAGTGGAGCTCACAGAGGCTGAAGAAGTAATCCTGTACGTTTGCTTTCTGCTCACACAAATGCCCAGAAGTAGGCTCTACGAATTTACTCGCATCGTAGGTGCACCCCCAGTTTGGTAGAAAGATATCAATCTGTTTTTATTTCCACGCATAATAGGTACATCCTGAACTTGGCCATGATCTGTAGTTCTGTCCAGTATTAACCCGATTGCAATTTGATGCCCTCTTACACTAACTGAAGTGAGGAAAAAGAAAAGAAAAAAGACTGTGGCAGCGTTGCACCAACTTCGCAGGTCACAGAGTGAGGAAGAGGAGTCGCTTTGGTTTCAGAGTAACCTTTGCACCGACGCCGGCGTGGCTCCTGTCGTTAGCCAGACACAGGTGCTTCGCATCAAAAGTGTGGTTGCGTTGTCGTCAAATGCGCATTAAGTTTCTTGTCGGGAAAAGCATCGTTGCTATCACATTTGCTACCTCGTTTAAAAACGCTCAGCTTTCCAACGAATGCTTTCACCATTGTTGCCATTACCAAAATTGAACAAGCTCGGAGCACTTTTGTTGCCGTCTATTTCCTGGCCGCGAACATAAACATTGTGTCACACACGCTGCTCTTGGATCAGTGCTTTTAGAATCAGCTTTTCGACGCTCAATCTTCATGTTGTCTAATATAAACTTCCCACAAAAACATGACGAAATGCAGGCTAGGCTTTCATCATTGTTCGCACTTTTCGGTGGCAGTCTCGGGCGGTCTAAGTTGCAATTTCGACCAGAATCAACGCACCTCTTTTCGGTGGCTCTACTTGAATGAAATGGGGCTTGAACATTGCTTGTAACACTCGAATGCTGGTTTGCGATTAGAAGATTGAAACATCTTAGATATGGGTTGCGAGCCCATGAAATTGAACGATCAGTACCGTAAATTTATCACACAAAATTTCAGTCGTGATAATCCAGGTAGCCTGAAACGGAATCTGAACTTTTGCGATGGCATTTTTTTTTGTTTTAATTTTTTTCCATTTATTTCGTCGGTAACGCCGGTCCATAGATAATTTTTGGACATTTGAATACACACCGCATCGCACGCATAGATTCTCAGGCACGTGAGACTGCACGCTTAACATGTTTTGCACTAGTGTAGCTTATGAAGAAGGTTGCTTTGGCTGTAATACGGGTGTTTGTGAAGTCGGCGACATGTACATTAGGAACGGTCTATGTATGCGGTAGTAGGATAAAAAACATTCGGAGTAAATAAGTATTACGACAACAGCTAGCTTCTGGACAAGCACATGAGCTAATATGGAGCAATAAGAAACAGACCGAAAATGCACAAGAATGTGGAGACACACACTTGTGATTGGCACTTTTTGGACAAGGTTCGCTGGAACCATCACGTCCATCTGTATAATCAAGCATCCATAACTATGTCACAAACTAACATGCTTACCACACCCGAGTATGCTGAAAAGGGTAACAACACCCGAGTATGCTGAAAAGGGTAACAATTTGAGATTACTTGCTTCTTCCAGCACCGTGGCAGTGGCTCAGCATGTGTGATCAATAAGGAGCACGAGGCATATGCCTAACCATAGAAAGTTCTGAAGGCATGAGTCCTTGCCACGCTCGCGCCCGCAATAGGTGGTAAAAAGGACCGTGGTGCCAACCCGAACTGTGATGTGAAACCTCCGTAAGAAAAGCGAGCATTGTCTTGTGGAGAGCCGAACGAAGAAGGTCAAAGAAGTCAGCGCCACTCTCGCAGCGAAAGCGCCAGTAACCCAGATCTGGAAATAGCAGCGCGAGAGTCAGAAAGCAGCTGTCGACCTCGGTGGACATCGATAGACGCTCCCCGAACCTGCAGCATCTCGTAACAGCAGTTCTCAAGACACTTGCCACTCTTAACCTTCTTAACAAGACGACTGCCACCCACTTGACAGTCCCCAAAGTTCCATGTTATCGGTTTGGCCAGGCAGTACTAAAGAGACGCCGAAAACGCAGTTAGGCCTAACCTGCCACAAGGCGTCCATTAGGCCTAACCTGCTACAAGACGTCCCGACTCCGTTTTGCGAACAACTCTTGCTACCTGTTTGAGCAGTTTTATGTAGTGCAAAGTCCAAGTCCCTTGCACAGTTTGCTGCGCAACCAGATGCCACTAGCCTGTGCAAAACAACAAAATATTTGGTGCGTTTATGCATTGAACTCCCAGAAAAAAAGCTACGAACTTCTCTCTGCAATTTGGACGTATAACAGAACCGCCATGAAGTGCTTGTTGGACCACCTGACAGAACAGCAGTGAAAACAAGCGCAGACGCAACAGCTCCACACACTACAAAGAAAGGCCAGAGTTGACGCTACTGTTATGTTGCGAATCACCATGAATGTAAACGGCTTCAATTTTACAGATTTCTGTAGCTGTCGTACGAAAGAGAACGGCATGAGCACTGGAAATGGGCCATTACGCACTTGTCGGGTAAGCAAATGACTTCCGTTCTCCACAGCCAGTCACTTGTAATAGGAATAGCTCTCAACCTGCGAGATATATTTCTATTATAACATCATACCGTATATACTCTATTCTACCGCGCCCTCTATTATAATGCACACTCGGTTTCCACGACAAAAAAAAAAAAAAAAAAGTAGGACATCTATTGCAACGCGCAACCATTTTTCACGTTGGCCCGTACGATCACACCACTCGAAAAAACTACTCCTTTCGGGAGCGTCTTCCATTTAAATATGAGGTACGGGGGGAAGGCTTGTGCCTGTGATGAGTGAAGTGGCCGTGCGTGATCGTGAAGATAGAATTGTGTTTGAAGTGCGCGCCACAGAGCCAGTGGAAGAAGACGACGCAGAAAAAAAATCAGGGCAGGTGGTGGGGCGAAGAAGAAGGAGGGAGGCAGACGTGGCTGGAAGGAAGAAGCAAGGTTGAAGAACCAGGGCGTGGGAGCAGTGACCCGTCGGGTTGCGGACTCGAGGTCTCAGCAGGCTGCCACCTGGGGCCATACCAGCCGTCCTTGCAGTTCAGGCCTGGCGTGGGCGAAACGTCGCCAGAACATTTCCGCCAGGCGAGTCCGGCACCTACGGCAGCGAGCGCCAGCCAGCGTTCGAGATAGGCATGGCAAACGCCATGCGTGCTCCAGGTCAACGACCTCTGCAGTGAGCCACGTTCTTGGCCGCAGCTGTCATTGGACTTACCAGGCTACCCAAGCGTCGGCCGTCTCTTCCCAGCGTTGAGTTTGCCGCCGGGACTTGACCATTGCCCTCCTCTCTGGTGAACTGTTTCTGTTTTTATGCCCTTGTGACTCTCACACCAGCATTCCAAGCACGTTATATTTTTGCCCTTACTTCATTTATTATTAGACCTTTCATGTCTTTTGTAACAAAATACATTTTTTTGTGCGACTGCATAAACGGCCTCCTTACTGCCCGATGACGATTGAGTCATCGCAGGTTTCCGTACAGAAACACGAGCGTCTCGTCTGGAGCTTTGTCTCTCTATACAGCTTGTTACATTGGCGTCCAAGGCGACAGGACGAAGCCGTTTATTGCATTAATAGTTACTGTTCCCTGGTTCCATTTTGCTAGAAAAAAAAAAGACAGATCCAAGATGAGTTCGGATTTAACGGCACTGGCGTTGCGCATGGGGCTAGAGGGAGCTGAGTTAAGGGCTTGGGTAGAAGAACGTGAAGCAAGGAAAGAGAAGATGGAGCAGATGGAGTTAGAACGGCGACTTCAGGAGGAATACCAGAAGACTATACAGTTGCATCTTCAACTTGCTCAGGCTGAAGGCGTTAGAGAGTCAGTAGTGGCTGACCAAGGCCAACCAGTTCGAGCATCTCCCACCATTAATCCTCACAATTTCATGCCAGGGTTTAACGAGAACCGGGACGACTTAGACGCATTCCTAAAAAGGTTTGAGAATGTTGCTACCGGTCAAGAATGGCCAAAAGACAAGTGGGCCACGGCCCTAAGTTTGTGTTTGAGCGGGGAGGCTCTCAAGGTCTTTGGTCGTCTGTCGCCAGAAGAGGCTCTCGATTATGACAAAACCAAGTTGGCGCTACTGCAACGATTTTGTTTTACGGCGGAGGGCTACCGTGAAAAATTCCGACACAGCAAGCCACAAGATGGTGAAACAGGCGTGCAGTACGCAACGAGGCTAACAAGCTTCTTTGACAGATGGGTTGAGATGTTGAAAACGGAAAAGGAATACTCATCAGTTCGGAATCTCATAGTAGCGGAGCAATTTATAAACAACTGTCATGATAAGGTGGCGCTATTTTTGCGAGAGAAAAACTGCCGTAAGCTTGAAGAGATGGCGGAAGCGGCCGACAATTTCTTAGAAGCTCAGCGACAGTCAAACTTGCTTGTTTTCCATGACAAAGGGGAGAACCCTCCTGCAGGAAAAGGCGGTAATTCAACTTCAAAGGCTTCCACTCGATGTTTTGTGTGTGACAAGACCGGTCACAGAGCTGCAGAATGCCGCGCTCGGACAAGGCAACCATACTGTGGGTATTGTCGTAAAACTGGGCACGACACCCAAGCGTGCACCAAGATACCCAGCACTACCAGGAAAGCCTCATGTATATCGTCGCAAAGGGAGAACCTTAACGAAGTCAAGCAGGTGGAGGACGAAAAAAGCGAAGAGAGTATGGCTAGTGCAGTGTATACCGAACCAAGGGTTACGAAGCATCAGATGCCCGTGTTGCAGGGCGTGATATTCGGCAAGACTGCCTCAGTATTACGGGACACAGGAAGTAATACAATGGTTGTGCGGCGTTCCCTCGTGCCAGACGGAGCACTTACGGGAACCACGGCATTATTGTTCTTGGCGGATGGAAGTAGAATTAAGGTTCCAGAGGCAAAGGTGGAAATTTTTTCACCATACTTTTCAGGCGTATGCATCGTAAAATGCATGATTTCCCCGTTATACGACATTATCGTGGGAAATGTGCCCGGATCACGTCAGGCTCACGACCCT